TCCTCGAGGGGGAATAAAATGGCCCAGGCCCAGTTCCTGCTTCTAAACAGCTTGCCTTGGCGTGGGCCCCGGTACCGGTGCTGAGTGATGGCGGCATCTAGGGGCAGTGTGTGCTGGTCAGGGAGGGCTTCCTGTAGGAGGTTTCCTGGTGAGGCTCACACACTCCCAGTTGTGAGGCCTCATGGGGCCAGGACTTGGCAGTGGGAGGAGCCTGGACAGACCTGGTTCTGAGCTAACCTGTGCCCCGTGCACCCCAGGCGGGCCACTCATGTCTAGGCCCCACTGTGCTCATTCCAAATGGGTGTAGGGTCTGGCATTGTGGCGTAGCCGGTTAAGCTGCCGCCGCCTGCCAGGGCTAGCACCGTATATTTGCCAGTTTGAGTCCCAGCTGCTCCACTTCCGAAAGCCGTAGAGGATGGCCCAGTGCTTGGGCCCCTGCACCCACGTGGGAGACCCGGCTGGAGCTCCTGGCTTCGGCGTAGCCCAGCCCTGGCCATGGCCATGGCCATCTGGGGAGTGAACCAGTGGATAGAAGACCTCTACCCTCCTCCCTCCCTCCCTCCTCCCTCTCTCCCTCCCTCTCTCCCTTCCTCTCTCCCTCCCTCTCTCCCTCAATCCCTCCCTCCCTCTCTCCCTCAATCCCTCCCTCCCTCTCTCTCTCCCTCCCTCCCTCTCTCCCTCCCCCTCCCTCCCTCTCTTCCTCTTTCCCTCCCTCCCTCTCTTCCTCTTTCCCTCCCTCCCTCTCTACCTCCCTCTCTCCCTCCTCTCTCTCTCTCCCTCCCTCCCTCTCTCTCTCTCCCTCCCTCCCTCCCTCTCTCTCCATCCCTCTCCCTCCCTCTCTCCCTCCCTCCCTCCCTCTCTCCCTCCCTCTCCCTCTCTCTCCCTCCCTCTCCCTCTCTCTCCATCCCTCTCCCTCCCTCCCTCTCTCCCTCCCTCTCTCCCTCCCTCCCTCTCTCTCTCCCTCTCTCTCCCTCAATCCCTCCCTCCCTCAATCCCTCCCTCCCTCCCTCCCTCCCTCTCCCTCCCTCCCTTCCTCTCTCCCTCCCTCTCTCCCTCAATCCCTCCCTCCCTCCCTCCCTCTCTCTCCCTCCCTCCCTCACCCTCTCTTTCCCTCCCTCCCTCTCCCTCTCTTTCCCTTCCTCTCTCTCCCTCCCTCCCTCTCCCTCCCTCCCTCTCTCTCTCTCTCTAATAAAAATAAGAATGCATAAGCAGCCCCTCTGCACTGCTCTGCTGTGCGAGGGATGCCTGGCACCGAGGCTCTGCTGCCCGCAGGTGGGCGCCTCCTGGGGAAACCCCCTGATTTATTGAGGTTGCAGATCCGGTGGTCCCACGTGGAGGCACCGCGTTTGTGAAGAGCCCGGGCGCCCAGCCTCAGCCGACAGCGGAGCCTCTCTCCCAGCCAGCAGGCAGCTCCTCCCGGAAGCACACCTCCCCCGCCCCGCCCGCCTGCACCTGCTGCCGCCTGGGGAGGGGGGACCAGCTCCCCTGCCGTCCCCGGAGACCAGCCCGGCCCTTCACCCCCGGGTTTGTAATCTCGGCTGTAAAGAGGCCTCTGATTCCTTTCTCCTGCCCCTCACCACGACGAATCCATTTGCCAGGGCCGGGATCCAAGAGAAAGCTAATTAAAGAATTTCTGCTCTTGGCGCAGCCTGAACTCTGAAGATTCCGCTCAGTCCTGGAGTATCTGAAAACAGGCAGAGAAAGGGGTGCCGGATACACCCCCAGGGCTCCCTGGTCCCCGGCTCTCTGAGAGGGGAGGCTGTGCACCTCCTGGAGTTTGGGGGATGGGGAGGGGACAGCCCCAGCCCTCCAGCGCAGCAACGGGAGTGGGCCCCGCACCTGCTGTCTGGCCCGGGAAGCCCCATGTCCGAGGTACTGCCCAGGCTGCCCCCCCAGGGGCCCCCACGCCCTTCAGGAGCTTGTGGCTTCTCAGGGCCTTGCTTTCTTTTTAAAAGACTTTTTATTTATTTGAAAGAGTGACAGAGGGGGGAGGGAGGGAGAGGGAGAGAGAGATCTCATCCACTGGTTCACTCCCCCAAATGCCCACAACAGCTGCGGCTGGGCCAGGCCAAGGCCAGGAGCCCAGAACTCCATCCGGGTCTCCGACATGGGAGGCAGGGACCCGTGTTCTTGATACCACCTGCTGCCCGCCAGGGTGCATGTTAGCAGAAGCGGGGGTGAGACTTGATCCCTGCACTCGGATGTGGGACGCAGGTGTCCCGAGGGGCGGCTTCCCCCTCTGAGCTGTGACGCTGGCCCCCAGCGTTTCATCAGCCAGTCCTTGATGGCAGGTGTCCTGTGGGGGCCGGGGGGCACGCTGGCCTGGCACAGGTGCGCAGTGAGACTTGTGGATTGTGACTGGCGGCAGCTGGTGCGACGGGGTAGGGTCCTTACTCTCCTGCTACATCCCAAGGCTGTTTGGGACCGGGGGTCTCTGAGCCCACCCACTCTGCCACTGCGGGCTCTGGCCAAGCCTGGTGTAGCCCTGGACAGAGTGGGGGCATCTGTTGCCGCTCAGCCCCCACCTGCGCCCGATCGGGCCTCCGCTCGCCCCCCCGTGTCCCTCCCCAAGCACTTGGACCCGCAGGTCCCTATTCTGTGCGTGGGGCACTCGCTGCTCATGGAGATGAAATGATAAGCAGCCGCCCGCTGAGCTCCTGGCGCAGTAAATTACTTAACACCTGAGGCAGGTGCAGATGTGGCCGCCGTGGCTTTTAATAAGCGGCTCCCCGGTGCCGCCGCCTCCACCGGGAGCCGGCCGGTGTCGTCTCCAGGCGCGATTTCATCGCGTCCCAGGCTTGGCAGCCGTGCAAATAAGATTTCACTTCTCGGCGGGCAGGGGGGGCCGCGTGGGCTCTCACTGGTGCGGCCGTCGGCGCGTGAGACCCCAGGCTCTGCCGGGGAGGAGGGCCCTGGGGGTGAGTGGACGTGCAGGGCGCGCACTGCAGACCCACTTGTCTGGGAGCCTGGAAATGGACCAGGCCCCACCGCCCGCACCACCAAGGTAGTGTCTCGGGGCTGGCTTGGGGGCTGCTATCCATGCGGGACCCTCTGGGCAGGCTGCTGGGGATCCACCCCATAATCGGTGTGTGGGCCGTGGTTAGGGGAGGGAGAAGGGGTGTCTCTGGAACCCGGTGGTGGCCAGCTAAGAGCAGGGCCAGGTGCAGGAGGGTGGCCTGCTGCTCCCCAGCCTAAGCCGGAACTTTGAGTCCCGACTGCCACGGCAGGTGGGGTCAGGGCCACAAAGCGGGGCGCTGGGCAGTGGGGAGCCCAGCCACTAGGGGTCGTCCCTGCCACCTGTCCACCCGCTACGCCACAGCGCGGCCCCAGTGCGGGTCCTTTAACTGCTAGGCTCTGTGCCCGCCCCAGCACTGAGGGCCGGGCTCAGGACCCAGGCCTGCCTTCTAGCACAGAGGTGGGCTGTTAGCACGTGCCCGAGCTGAGACAGAAAAGCAAGACGCAAGTGGTGGAGGGCCTGGGTCTAGGCCGGGCCTCAGGGGCTCGGAGGCCCTGCCCGAGGCGCTCTGCAGGACAGCACTGGGTAACGCAGCCGTTCCTGGAGTCAGGTGGACGTGGGCCCTGTCTGGGCAGAACCTCTGCTAGCTCTCCAGGCTGAGGAGGGTGTGGGGGCCGGGGGCGGGAGCGTGCTGTGCACCTGCGGGAACGTGTGTGCGCAGTCACCCAGCTTGTACCCTGCGTGGATCAGTGGCGGGTGATCGTCGGCCCGCTCTTCACTTACCGAGTGCAGGGGCCCTGGCTGGTGCCCTCCGGGGATCTGAAGGGCACTGGAGGCACAGTGACCTGCACAGCACAGGTGTGGGTGGGCCCGGGGCCGGTGGGGACCTCTCCTGGGGTGAGGCCTGGCTTTGAACCCTCAAGGGCCTTTCCTGGGAGGGGCACGGGGTTGAGGGGTCAGCACAGCGCAGACTGGGAGCCCCACACAGGACAGGGCCTGCTCAGGTCTGGCCGAGGGCCTGGGCCATCTGAGACGGGGCTGGAGCTGGAAGAGAGAGGCAGCCAGGGAGTCTGTGTTTGCAGCGGGAGGCGTGGAATTGAACCTGCCTTCCTCGTCCCTGGAGACGGCCTCGGCCCAAATCTGCCACCCCCCCCCCCGCCCCTGCAGCCTCCCCGGCCAGGCAGGTGCCTCTCGCTCACTCATGCCTCCCCCACCCCACAAGGAGGAAGTGACCCCGCAGCCTAGCACACAGGAGGCCTTCAGCCAGCGTCTCCTGCCCGGCGGGCTGGTCGGGTTCTAGGATTCCCGCAGCCCCCCGAGAAGCGGTCTCGGGTGAGAGCAGGCAAGGCGTCCTGCACCTGCCATGCGCTGAGCCCGTGAGGGACCTTGCCCTCCGATGGGGGGGGGGGTGAGCCCTGGAGGATGGTGGGGGAGAGAGACCCCGGGGGGCCGCCGGCGTGCCCTGTGTCACCCCGGGCACCACGTCGGGAAGTGACTGCGCCCTCAGAACAGCAGGGAAAGAACCCAGCGCCCCCAGACCCAACACCAGCACCAGGTCTGGGGCGGAAGTGACGGGTTCTTACTTTAGGCTAGATTTAGCAAGAAACTGCTGCTGTTCTCACGGCAGAGAATCCTGCCCCCGCCCCCAGCTGTGAGGGATGGGAGCACAGCGGGCCCGGGGGAGGACGGGGAGGGCCGGCAGGGGGTCCACGGGGGCGCTGGGCTGCGCATGCGAGCCCGACACCCGCCACACAGCTCCGCTCTTATCTGGGCGCGCACATGGCTGGCGGCGCCTCCGACTGGATAATCCCCAGCTCCTATTAGCGAGCGTCCAGGAGGAGAGCTGCTCGGCTCTGTGGCCGCTGGGTGCCCTGCGTGGCCCGGCTCGGAGCCCTGCGGTGGCGCCGGCTTTGCTGGGGCCGTGGGGCCCCGTCTCTCCTGGCTGCCGCCTCCCGGCCGCTGGAGCCCAGGGGCAGCAGGGCCCACGCCCGGGGAGGGTGGGGAGCCCCCGGCCACCGCACCCAGTGAGCAGCCGAGACGCCCGTAAAAGTTAAATCTATTTATTTCAAGAAAGGACAAGGCAGGCGGACCTGGACGTCTCGTATGAAAACAGACAAACAGGGCGTAGGACCAAGGAGCTTATCACATTCAGTCAACATCGAAGTGTCAAGGCACCTACAGGAGGAGGCCGAGGTGGCTCGCAGTGCACTTTGGTTTGTCGTCGTCGTGGGTGGTGGTGGGTGTCCGTGTATCTCGGCCTTCTGCCGTGAGGTTGGGAGTGAGGCGGTGATGGGACCGGGCCTGTCCCGGAGAGCCCCCACCCCGGAAGAAGGGAAAAGAGCATGCGCCGAGTGCCCGCCCCCGCCGCGAGGGCTGGCTCTGCAGGTGGGGAAGAAGGAACCCCGCCCCCGGGCCTCTGGCCGAGGGCTCACCAGGACCCGGCCAGGGACCCCTCCTCCTCCTCTGACCACTGGGAAGGGGCTGACAGTGAGCGAGCTGCCCCGGAACCAAATGGGATCCAGCGAGGCCTTGGCTGTCCGGAGAGACTCGGGGGCCAGCGCTGGCCGAGAAGACGCTCGCCCTGCCACGCCCACGGGGGGCTCTGGCTCCGCCAGCAGGATCACCCAGCCCATCGCCTGCGGCCAGCCTGGGTTTAGCCCTTGGGCCCCTGCCGCCAACACCTGCTCTCACCTGCTCTCTCCCTCTCAGCCACCCTTGGAAGGTTCCAGGGCCCCTTGTCCTCGTCCCAAGAACTCCCTGGACGCCCACATGGGCTTCTCAGCCGAGGCCCCTGGCCGTGCTGGCTTGGGGGGGAAGATATCTAAGGCTAGTTTCAGGTTTTGTGGGCGTCACTTCCCCCTGTGTACCCAGAACCTTCTGGAAGGGGGCCAGCTGGGGCGACAGGTCCAGAACCCGCAGGCCCGCGGCGCCCGGGAGACAGCGGGGAGAGGAGCGGTGGTGGCCCCGTGGCGGCTGCGGCTTTGATTGTCGGCTCATGTGGCGCTTGTTTTCCTCTGCCTTGAGGAGGCAGCCTGATGAGTTCCTGTAGGCAGTGGCTCGGGGACTCGCGGCGGGCGGCCTCCCGGTCTCAGCCCCCTCGCGGAGCAGGGATCTCTCCGAGGGGGCCGCGTTTTCCCGGCAGGCTCCCAGCTGGAAGTCGGTGGATGGGGGGGTGGGGGCCGGAGTGCGTGAGATGCTGTGGGTGCCCCGCCGGCCTCAGGGCAGGTGCGGGCCGGGTAGGCGGCCACCTGCAGCTGCTGGAGAAAGGGTAGGGCACTCCTGGTGCCGTCCGCTGTGCCAGAACTCTGGGACCCCTGGCAGGGCCAGGCGCCGACCCCGTGGCCCCTGGATCCCGCCGGGGGGACCGGTCACCCTGATGGGCCTCGAAGGGGATTAGGGCGGGGGCAGCTAAGACCCTTTCCTCGAGGAGGAGGATGGGGCCAGGCCGCTGGGCCCCCTGGGACCGGTCGGCCCCTGCGCAGGCGCCCTGAGCCCTCCCTGGGCCGGGCGCGGCGTCCGCGCCAGCAGCGAGGCTGGTCTGAGAGCCCAGGGCAGGTGCTGGCAGGAGCTGCCCCGGGCTGACAAGCTGTGCCCTGGGGAGGAGCGGTACAGGGAGGGCTTCCCCGGCGCGCAGGGTCCCTGGGCAGCCCTGCAGGTCGTGCGGACGGCGGGGAAGTGGGCCTGAGCCCTGCAACAGTGGAATTTGCCAAACTGGAGAAAAAACATCCATGTAGCAATGCCAGGGGAGGGGGAAGCAAACGAAATCTTTGCATGAGTTTTTTTTTTTTTTTTTTTTTTTTTTTTAAGAAGCCAGCATGGATATTTCAGGCAACTACTTGGAACATTTCAAAAGAGCCGTAAATGCTGAAAAACGCAGAGTGCGCCGTGCCCCAGGCGCCGTCAGCTGCCCGTGATGGATGGATCAGCCGGCAGCGCCGGTGCGTGCCGCTGTGGCCTAGCTGCGGGGTCCCCGTCCTGGCTTCCTGCTGTGGGGAGGGGTGACGTGGGAGGCACTTGCTCCCCGGGGACCCCAGCATGGGCGCTTGGCGGCCTCTCTGGTGGCATAGTCTGCCCTTTGGCGGAGCGGCCCTGTCTTGGGGTTTTCAGGGGACGCTGGTCCCGTAGGGCGACACGGTGAGCGTGTCTGCCTCCCCGCCGTGTCCTGGGGGTGTCTAAGGAAGCCCAGGAGGGGACGGCGATCTCCCAGTCACATCTCCCAGAGCTCGCTCAGGCTGGAAAACACCTGCCACAGCCCCATCTCACGCTTGAATGCTCCCAGCGATGGGCAGCTCACTGCCTGCTCCTGTGGCTGGGCCTGTGTCCCTTCTCCCGCCTCTGGGGGCCCCTGTGTCAGGGGCTTCACACCCCCTCACTGCCCACAGACCCTCCCTGGGACAGAAGCTCAAGGCTGCAGAGGCCTCTCGGTGACCAGCCAGGCCTCGGCTGAGATGTCACCTGTCACCCTTGCAGGCGGACGGAACTTGGGGGGCAGGGCCAGAGCATCTGCCTGGGAGCTGGGACAGCTTCCGTCCACCACCGTGGGCCGCAGGAGCCCCTCGTGTCCCCCAGGCCTCCCTGAAGCTGCGGAGCCCCCGGCAGCCAGTCTGGGGGTGCCTGCTGTGTGCACAGCCCGGGGCAGGTGCATGCGCCAGGAAACATCCGCCTCTCCCTTCAGCTCCGGGGAGTTAACCTCCCCCTTCAATTTAGCAGACTCACTGGGTTGTAAACGCGGTGATTTGCGTCTTTGAGCCTTTTTATCCCTCTTTAAGAAGGAAAAAAAAATGCCTCCCCTCTCTGCCTCCTGGAAGGCCTGCGACTCGCTCGTTAGCACCCTCCCTGGTGCAGGACCAGCGCTGATTGCAGTGTGAGAAGGGGACAGGGCCCCCAGGATGGACAGATGCACGCACACAGCCAGCCCTGGCCTGGCCTTGGGCCTGAGAGCACGGCCCTGGCCGCCCCCAGCCCCTCCTCCCGGCTGCCAGCCCCATGGTGCCTGTCAGCCGCATCCGATTTTCCTTGTTGTATTTTTCATAAGCCCACAGCTCGGCCCCGTCCTCCTCCCTGGGTGTTCAGCAGGATGCAGATCTGCAGAGTGGGTTGGCTGCCGTCTGCGGGGCGCCCGGGGTGGGGGGAGGGGAGGGGGAGGCGGCAGCGCTGCCCTGGGTGTGCCTGAGACCTGTTCTCCCTGCTCGCATTGCCCGTGCCCCATGCCAGGTCCCCAGCAGCCTAGCAGGGACCCCTTGCTTGTCTCAGGGGCCTAGAACCTTCTAGAATCAGTGGAAGGGAGGGGCCTTCACTTGGCCTCTGGAGCTCCCAGCTCTATGCACCCCCACTTTACAGAAGGGGAACACCAAAGCCAGGGGTCCCCCAAATGCTCCTCCTGTGCCAGTCTGGCAGCACCTCCCGGCCTCAGCTTGGGCTTGGTTGGCCTGGGCGGGGTCCAGGTCTCCTGGGACCCCCGAGAGTGCCTGCAAGAACCAGGGAGAGGAGGGTACCCCCCTTCCCCAGCCACCACCATCGTCCGCGGTGCTGTCCCCTCCGGTACCAGCGTCACCCAGAGCCGGGAAGCAGCCGCATCCAGGCCCCATGTCCGCCACAGGCGCCCGGCCGCGGAGCCCGGGCCGGGGAGAAGATGGAGGGTTCTGTATGAGGCAGGGGCGGCAAGGGAAGGAGGAAGGAAGAAAAGCAGCTTCTGATGCACGTCATGTCTGCGGAATTGAGTATGACTAATTAATAGATTTTATTCTTAGTAATCTCTTAAGCATTCCATACGTTGGGCCCCACGCCTGAGCTGCGCTTACAGGAGGCCGCATTCGCAAAATGCAAATGATGCCCAGCGCTGCCTTCCCCTCCTCTCTCTCTCTCTCTTTTTTTTTTTAAAGGGGAAATTTAAAGGAAAATTGCCATGTAATAGAAAAGAGATTCCAATCACTACATCTAATTACCACGAAGGGTAAAACCACTTAACCAAGAAGTGTCTGTCGTGGGCTTTTTTTTTTTTCTTTCAAACTTTAAACCTGCCGTAAATGCCACAAGCTTGGGGTGGTCCTGGCTGGTGAGCGGCTGCTGGAGGAGCGTGGGTGGGCCCCAGAGCCTGTGTGCCCCGGGCATCGTCCATCTCGCTGGGTGCCCAGGCCAGCCTAGAGGGGCTGGGGCTCCGGGGTGACCCAGGAAGACATTGCCGTACCAGGGGCTGAGAGGACGCGATGAGATTCTCCCAGGGGCCCTGGCCTGGCTGGGGCAGGATGAAGCCCACCACTCAGGGAGGGCCTGAGCCCAGGCCTGGGGTGGGGGGTTAGGTGAGCCTGAGGCTGGAGCGTGCCGGGTGCAGGGGAGGAGTGGGGGCTGCTTTCCTGGACCCCCCCCTCGGGCGAGGTGGGATTGGAACCCTTGGGGAGGGGGGCTGGGGTGTCTCATGTCAGAAACAACAAAGACCTGGGCCCCCTGGCCAGCGCTGCACCCCTCCCCTCCCCCTGCCCGCTGTTTCCAAGGAATGGCCAGGAGCTGGGGAGGGGGGGCGTCACAGGCTGCAGGGAGGGCGGAGCCTGGAAGCGAGAAAAATGCCCTCTGACCTCGTGCCTGTGCCTGCCACCCTGTCTGCCACGGGTGGGCCTGCGCCCCTCCCCCCGCCCGCCCTGTCGCCCCCGGCCGCTGTGCCCGATTCTTTGAAGCTCTTTCCCGCGAGGCCAGCAGGGTCTTCTCATGTCCAGCAGGCGGCCGGCACCGGGGCACGTGGTGGGCAGCCCCGTGGCTGCTGCCAGCCTCCTGTCCTGCCTCGGCTTTGGTGGAAGCGGCAGAGGCCTTTTGAAAGCGCCGCCTCCGGCCGGCTCCTCTCATCCTCTGCCCTCGGCCCGGCCCGGGGACGCGCCCTCCCCAGCTCCACCGTCACTGTCTCATCATCGTTCTAATCTCCCGGCTCGCCACACCGTGCTGTCGCTTGATAAATGATCGCCTCGCTCTACCCAGGGCCCCGGCCGCCTCTTGCGCTGGTCTCTCCCTCCTCCCCCCACCCCTACCCGGGATGGCAGAGCCCCAGGCGGTGGGCACGGCTGACGGGTGCCGGCTTCCGGGGCTTTTCTGGACATTTCCCTGCCATCCTCAGGCTTACGTCTAAGCAGCTCAGGTTACCAAAAAAAGCCCCGGTGTTAATTACCTCTCCCAGGGAGACGCAAAGGGTAGGCGCGCAGAAGGTAGTGGCTGGTCGGAGCGAATGCCTCTGGGAAGGAGGGGAGGACACGGCGGTCGAAGCTTTTCCCGGTTATCAGAAAGGACAGTGGCCCAGCTGCAGCGACCCTCGCCCAGCCCCTCCCTGCCACCCCGCTGCCAAGGACACGCCTCCGCCTCTGGGAGCAGCAGTAGCCGCCCAGCCGCCCGCCCCACGGTGGTCTGCTCTGCCCACCCGCCCCACCGCGGTCTACTTACTCAATGACTTCTAGGAGCAAGAACGTTTTCGCAATTCTATTGTCTCAGGAAATGCAAGGACCGACCCGGGAAGTACTGGGAGGACCCGGATGCAGCTCGGGCTCGCCGGGCGGCACAGCCACAGCTTCCGCCAGGGGCCTCTACGGGGTGCGGGGCGCGGAGGAGCCGCGAGCTTTTCCTTCTGTGACCCATCCAGAGGATGCACTGGCAGGCCCGGCAGGGAAGCGGCGTGGAGAGAGCCGGCCAGAGGACGACTTCCGGCGTCTCCTTGCCAAACACCTCTTCTTCCCTCCCCGCCGCCTGCGGAGCCCGCACGGCTCCCGTGAAGGCATCGCGGCGAGCAGTGGCGGTGGCAGAGCCATGTGGGGCCCTGCGGGCAGCCGCGTCTCCCCGCCGGCTCCGGGGTGACGGCCCAGGGTGCACGTGGATGTCATCATCCAGTTCCGGAAAAAGCCCCAACCCGGTCCTTCCGACTGTACTGTTTTTAGCACTCCCCTCCCCCACTGGCACCATTCTATGTCCACAGCTGTGAACCCCCTCCTGCCTTCTATTCTTCTAAAAAAAAAAAGTTCCCTCCCCCCACCATCACGTTCTACGAAATCGCCACCCCTCCCCAGCCGCGGCCTTCTCTCTGCTGGGGCGGTGACCTGCGGCCGCCCTCTCTCTCTCTCTCTCTCTCTCTCTCGTTCTCTGGGATCGCGGCAGGCGTGGCCGGGCCGGGGCCTGCATCATGTGTAGGAGTAGTCTACGTCGGGGATGCCGCCGTCCCGGTAGCCCCGCGTGGTGCCGTAGCCGATGGTGTGCGTGCCCTTGCACAGGCTGCTGCCGTTGGAGGGGAAGATGGTGTGGACCACGTACTCCTCTTTGGCGCGGTACGGGTTGATGGGCAGCATCTGCAGCCCCGGCCCGCGGATCTCCAGGATGGAGTTGTCCTTCTTGGTCCCCGACTCCACGTAGTCGTCTTTCTTCCTGCTGCCCCGGTTGTAGGCCCTCTCCCGGCTCAGCAGCTCGCCAGCCCGGTGCACGTACCAGCAGATGGCCCCCAGAACCAGGAAGAGGAAGACCAGGGCCACGGCGCCCCCGATGATGCCGGCCAGGGGCAGGCCCGCCATGGGCCCCGCGTTCTGCTCCTGGTTGAGCGTGGTGGTGGGGCCGTAGCTGTCGGCGGTCTCCGCCTTGGCGCACACGGGCGTCTCATCCGCCACGTAGGTGTTGCCCGTCTCCATGGTGACCATGCAGATGATATAGGTGGACTTGGGCTCCAGGGCCGTCAGCAGGTACTCCGTCTTGTCCCCCTGCACCAGGGTCTCGGTGATGGAGCCCACGGCCGGGCTGTGACCCAGGCGCAGCCAGCTGAGCCGGAAGGAGGCGGCCGGCAGCGTGGCCTTCCACGTGATGCGGATGGAGTCGGCCGTGAGGGGCTTCACGTGGATCACCAGGGTCTTGGCGCCGTCGCCCGTGGCCATGGGGTAGTCGATGTTGGAGTCGGGGAGGCGCAGTCCCGGCCTCTTGGCCTTGAGGGTGAACAGGGAGCCCTGGGGCGTGGTGGAGGCGGCCTGGTGGCTGGCGGTGGTCTTGGCGGCCACGTGCGCCGTGCCGCCGCCCTGCGACCCCGCCTCCAGGCACTCGTCCATCTCGCTGGTGATGTCCTTGATGGCCATGCCCCGGACCTTCTCGGGGCCCTGGCACATGAGGCCCCGCACGTTGACCACGGCCGCCCGGGCCTTCACCCAGTCCCGCAGCCACATGAGGTTGCAGCCGCAGAACCAGGGGTTGTTCCTGAGCAGCAGCTGGGCCAGGTTCCCCAGGTCGTCGAAGAGGCCGCGGGGCAGCGTGGTGAGGTTGTTGTTGGACAGGTCCAGGCGCTCCAGCTCGCGCATCTTGGCCAGCGTGTTGTAGGGGATGTGGCTGATGGCGTTGTCCTGTAGGTAGAGCTTCTGCAGGTGGGCGCTGGGCAGGTTGAGGGGCGGCGCGGCCAGCGAGTTGCGCACCAGCGAGAGCTCGGTGAGGTTCTGCAGCCGGCTGAAGGTGTCGTCGGCGATGCGCTGGTTGGCCAGCAGGTTGCCGTCCAGCACCAGGCGCCGCAGGCTGTTGAGGCCCTTGAAGGCGTGCAGCGGGATGGTGGAGATGCGGTTGTCGTCCAGCCGCAGCTCCTCCAGCGTGTGCGGCAGCCCCGGCGGGATGCTGCTCAGGTGGTTCCGGCTCAGGAAGAGCAGCTTGAGCTGCTTGCTGTCGGCGAAGGCGTCCTCCTCGATGCTGACGGTGGACACGGAGTTGTCGTCCAGGTGCAGCTTCTCCAGCAGCGGGAGGCGGGCCAGCGAGTCGCGGGCGATGGTGCGCACGTTGTTGTCCTGCAGGTGCAGCTCCCGCAGGGACCGCGGCAGGTTGACGGGGAACTCGTCCAGGTCGTTCTCGTACAGGTAGATGACCTGCACGCTGACCTTGGTCTTGAGGTCCTGGGGGATGCCGGCGTTGTTGATGCGGTTGTTCTGCAGGTAGAGGGTGGTGGCGTCGTCGGGGATGTCGGCGGGGATGGAGGTGAGCCCGCGGTCGTTGCAGTAGATGAAGCCGTTGTTGCAGCGGCACACGGAGGGGCAGGTGGTGCTGTCAATGGCCTCCGTCAGGAAGGCGATGAGCCCGTAGCACAGGAACAGCCAGTCGCGCAGGTCCATGGCGGCCGTGGTCATCACGACGGTGGCTGTGACGGTGGCAGTGGGCGTGGCGGCGGCGGCGGCGGCGGGCTGTGCCACCACCATGGTGCACGGCTGGGGGAGCCTGACTCCCCCTGACCCGGAGACCCTCAGCACCTGCAAGGAGCACAAGACAGGGGCGGTGAGAGCCGGGCAGGGGGCAGCGGCCTGAGGAGTCAGTCGCGCGCCGGCCTCTTGCCATGGGGCTGCCACAGGCAGCTCCCGCAGGGGCCAAGGTCAAGTCCAAGGTGCAGGCTTCTTGGTGGCAAGCGTGTGTCACGGGGGGGGGGGGGGGTGCTCTGGCTGGGGTCAGGCTCTGATGACGTCCGGACAACGCTAAGGTTCGGCTTTGTTTTTTTTTTCTTTCTTTGAAGTTCGCGCACTGAGCTCATGGCTCGCGCTGGAGGTGCTGGCCGCGCGGATGCCATGGATTTGGGGCGCGTTTTATGCCTTCGCTGGGCGGGGAACACGTGTCGCTCTCTGGCTGGGACCCAGGGTTTGAGGGAAAGCTTGTGTCTGTGAGCTCGGAGGAGGAGCGGGGAGGGAGGACGGGGGAGGGGAGGGAGGGGAGAGGCTTCGCCAGAACCCGCAGCCAGGGAGCTGTCGGCAGAGCCAGAGCGGCGCGTCACTGTCTGGTGTTAAAACAATACCTCCTGTTTGTCACGGGTTCACGCACAGACAGGACGAGGTGGCGGCAGCTTTGCTTTCCGTGTGTTCACAGAACTTTCATTTGACGCAAGGAGCCTGCCCTCGCCCTGTGCAGTGGTGGGGGCAGCTGTCCCCCACCCCCACCCCGACCTGAAATCAGGACCCTGCCAGCTACTCCAGGGAGAGCAGATGACCCCGGGCTGTGGCGTTAAAAGAAACGGGACAAACAGACGGAGGGGCACGCGGCGTGGTGGTAGGGCGAAGTCAGTTAACGAGAAATCACCTGTCAGCCCCGGTGGGGAGGGCAGCCGCGGAGTGTGCCGTGGGGTCTAGGGTCCCGAAGGCCTTGTCGCCGTGGCACAGGCTGAGGCCCCAGCCCGTGAGGGCAGAGCCGGCACCGCGGGACGAGCCGTGGGGTCCTCATCGCCACACCCTGGAGGTGGAGTCTCCGTTTCTCACCTGTGCCACACCTGCTCCCTTCTCTGTCCCTCGCCATCCAGAAACTCCTCTTCACCCTTCAGGACCCTCCTCTGCTTGGCCTTCCTGATGCCCCACGTGGAGCTTCCCTCTGCCTTGTCTCTACTCACCCACCCACCCACCTGTCCACCTCCCCACCCACCTGTCCATCCATTGACCCACCAACCTATCCACCTACCTACCCATCCATCCATCTACCCATCCGCCCACCCACCCACCTGTCCATCCATCTACTCACCCATCCATCCATCCGTCCATCTGCCTGTCTATCCATTCACGTGTCCACCCATCTACCCACCCACCTCCCCACTTGTCCATCCATTGGCCTACCCACCCATCCATCCACCCACCCATCCATCCACCCATCCACCTGTCCATCCATCTACCTATACACCCCCCTACCCACACACCCACCCTCCCATCCACTTACTCATCCATCCATCTACCCATCCATCCATTCACCTACTTCTCCATCTGTCTACCTGTCCGTCCATCCAGCCGTCTACCCACCGACCATCCCACAAACCCACCCACCCACCCGTCCGTCCGTCCGTCCATCCGAGAGATCTTGTTGGGCAGCCTGTGCCAGCCCCGTGGGCCCCCCTTCTGCGGGGGTAGGATGGAGGCCTTGCTTAGGGTGTCCAGAGTGTGTGCCATTCAGCCCCAGCGAGTGTATAGCCGGTGTCTTTCCCATGAGCAGATGGGAACCCTGCAGCTTGGCGGTGTGCGCTCTCTCCAGACCACCGGAGAGGAACTGAGCAGGAACCCAGGCCGCCTGGCTCGCAGCGTCCTGGCCACCGCTGGACTTGAGGCGCCATGTGGGTGCAGCCTGCGCTGTGTGGTGCCTGGCGCTCAGGAACAGGGGCTGTGGCCTGTGCGGGCCTGGTGTGGCTGGGTGTGGCCACTGTGGTGGCGTCCGTGGGCAGAAGGGCCCAGCTCTGGGCTTGCACGGCCTTGCTCGGGCTCCGTCTGCATCCATGGAGCACAGCTCATGCCTCAGGCCAGGGGAAGTGCGCAGGACGGGGGGCCAACCCCTGGGGGCCCTGCAGCCAGCCTGCGTCCCCGGGTGCTCGTCTCTGCCTGCTCTCAGAGCCCAGGCCACACGGTCAGGGCCTCCCTCACGCCCCCGCCTTCCAGCCCCTGAGGCTTGGTGCTGGCCCTGCTGCCTGCACACAGAGCCCCTGGCTCACTCGAGGGGGTCTGGCTGTGTCTTTGTGCCCTCGGGGGCTCCTGTCTGAGGCCACCCTGGTCCTCTTGCCTCCTCCCAGCACATCCTCCAGCCCTCCCTGTCACCTGGCGCTCAGAGCCTTCCAACCATCTGTGTGGCATTGGGCAGCGGGCGGTGGGCCTGGTGGCCTCGTCCACTCCACCCCCTCCCTGACCGCAGCAGCCAGGCACAGCTTGGTGCCCCAGGGCCCTTGTACGTGCTGTTCCCGCTGCTCATCCCCCACATCCAACCACTTGCTCCCTTGCCTCCTCCCAGAAATGATGGCCCCCGAGTCCTCTGTCCATTCCTGCCGCACCCGTAGCACCCACATGTGCTCTTTCCCCCAGTGAAGGACGGGATTTGTGTACCTTCCTGGGTGTCCCCAGCGGCTGATGCCCATTAGACACTTACTACACATTCCAAAGAAGCAGCTCCCACTAGTGACCCAGTTTGTAGATGAGGAAACCGAGGCAGGGAGCGAGCCTGGTTCCCTGGCCGGAGGTGTCGGGGTCTGCATTTCACCCCGGAGCTGTACAGCTACAGGACCTCAATCCCCATCCCCTGGCTGAGGGCTCGCAGATGGTCACGGGGCGCCCATCCTCCCATGAGCCTCCTGCCTGCTTTGCCCAGGCTGCCCGGCCCTCACATAACCAACCTCGCCTTTCGCTACCTCTTGGGTTGGGCGGGGCGTTGGCCTGGGTCACGGGAGAGGGTGGGCTTGGAACAGCGGACACTGTGCAGCCCAGCCCAGCGGGCCCTCGGGGGCCAGGGAGAGACCCTCTGGCCATGCCTTGCCCACTCCCCTTGCACGGGCACAGCTGAGAGGCTTACGACTGTACCCAGGCCCGGCTGTCGCGTGCAAGGTCACGGGGCCGGGACAGCAGGGAGGCGGGGGCTGAAACAGGGAGGCTCAGGCCCGCTGATGGCCACCTGGCCTCAGTCTCGGGTCACAGCCTAGCCCGGGAGCACCTCCGCCCTCTGCGGTCCGCCAGCTGCCGAGCGAGTCCTGGCACAGGGGACGCAGGTGGCCTGGCTTCCCTGCTCGGTGGTTCCGGGGCACTGCCCGGCGCCCAAGGCAGACTTGTTAGAGCCAGAGCGCAGGCCAGCCCCCGATCCTCCGGCGTGGACATCTGTTCCTGGTGCCCGCCCAGCTCAAGGCCACGGCATCATGATGGAGTCTAAATTGCACTTTTCAGAGCTGTTTGATGGACGACCGAGGCGCGTGCGGGAGGCAGGGGCCCGAGGCCTCTCCCTTCCCTGTCTGCAGGCCTCATCCATCTTGGCCAGTCTCCCCCGCGGCCCGGCTCTTCCCAGGGCCAGCCAGGCCTGGAGGCTGAGCCCTGCAGCTCCAGGAATCGGGGCGGGGCCTGGCCTCGCTGGAGAGGCCCTTGAGCCGCCCGCTCTGGCAGCCTTTTTATTCCCTTGTTGTGTGTCTGATAGTTTATGTGGCCATCAAATTAAAGCCGGCAAATGGCCCATCTTTTACGGGATCACTTGTCATCATCGCGCAGATCCCGAAGATGTCAGCACCCTGTGAGTTACGACCTGCCGGCTCTGTGACTGACAGCGGGCTCCAGGCTGGGGGCCGGGAGCCGCGGATGGTGCCCAGGGACCCCCTTAGCCGAGGAGGGCGGCGCCCAGCAGTCTCGCTCTCGGCCTTCCTGATTCAGACACTCCCGGGTTCTGTCCTGCCTCTGCGCTTCCTGGCTGTGTGGCTTTGAGCAGGTTGCTTGCCCTCTCTGAGCTCGTAGCCTCATCTGCGGCCCTAGCGGTCACTCCTGCAATGGCTCAGTGCAACCTCTAGGCATCAAGTCTAAGAGCTGACCCCGGGGCCAGCGCTGTGGCACAGCGGGTTAAGCTGCCGTCTCTAGCATCCCTTATGGGCGCGGTTTTGCGTCCCCGCTGCTCCACTTCCGATCCAGCTCCCTGCAAAAGCGGCGGGGGGTGGCCCAAGGGCTTGGGCCCCTGCCATCCACGTGGGAGACCCACAAGCAGCTCCTGGCTCTGCACAGCCCAGCCCTGGCTGTTGCAGCTATTTGGGGAGTAGAGCAGCAGATGGAAGACCTCTCTCTCTCTCTCTCTCTTTGTCTCTCCCTCTCTCTCTGTAACTCTGCTTTTAAAAATAAATTTTAAAAATGTTTAAAAACCTTTAAAAATTTTTTTTGAAAAGCTGTCCCGGCACATGGGCCTGCCCTGCCGTGCACACCCTGCTCCTCTGCACACCCCTGCTCCTGCCGTGCCTCCGGGGCGGGCGGGCGCAGCAGCAGCCTCTGGGGGGCTGTGATGTTGCCCTGCCCCCTCCCACAGTGGGGGGTGGTAGCGACACCTGCCCCTCCTAGGTCCCCCTGGACTCTGATGTCCCGCCGGCTCCTGAAGCCACCCTGGGCATTGGCCGTGCTGCTCCCACTCCAACACACTCGCCCTCACGTGTGCCTCCCCAGACCCCAGCCCCTCTGTAACGCGTTCCCTGACCCTCTGCTGAGCCCAGGCCCACCTCTGCTCCTGCACCACGAGACCGGTAGTAACGGGTGTGGGACAGCATCCACGACCACCTGTCCACTGCTCGGGTGCACCTCCCTGTTGGAGGCCCAGGGCCCTCTGCAGGGACCTCCTGGGGCGTCGGCGTGCGGGTGGCCCACCGTGGGAGCTGCAGGACCCCAGGCCTGGCACAAGCCCTGGCCAGCCGTGTTGGGGACGCCGTCTACTGCCACAGAGCCTGGGGACCCACGGTTGAATGTGAGCTTGTGGGGGTGGGCAGCACTCCTGGAGGAGCTGGGGGTCTGGGCATGGAGGAGAGGCCGGGTCCCCGTGGTGCCAGGCAGCCGCACCCCCACTGGACCCAGGCGGGCAGTCCTGATGGTGCCAGCCCCAAGGAGGAGCTGCGTGGCGCAGGAGGGGTCAGAGGCCCACAGGCGGCCCCCAGCTGTGTGAGCTGGGCTGACGCCCCCCCGCCCTAGTTTACCCCAGGAGGAGGGAGATGAGGGAGGGGTTGTATGGGGTGCCCAGTGGGGCCCAGGGGGTTGAGAAAGGGGAGCTGCCCTGCCCTGTCCCCAGGAGGGGCCCCGTGTTCCCCCCATGAGCCCCACTCTGGGCGGATGCTGCCTCAGGAACAGGCCAAGGCAGGAAAGGGGGCCCCTTGGGGGTCACTCATCCCCTCCGCGGAGGTGGAGGGCAGATGCCTCGGCCAGGCTATTGGGGAGCCCAGCCCGGCGGCCCAAGTTCTCTCTGTGACAGCAGCCCAGGGAAGGCGCCTGGGCTCTGAGCAGGCAGACAGAGCTGGGGAGGGACAAGCTGGGGGGACCTGCCGATGAGCCCCTGCGCTCCAGACAGCGGGTAGGGGGTGGCACACAGAGACAGGGCGCCCGGCTCCATATCCCAAGTTTCTGCTAACCCGGCCTTAGCTCCTGCCTCTTCCTTCCCCTCCTCGCAGCCTCCGCAGAGCGTGGTGCCTCCTAAGCCCACGGCTCCCTCACCTGTCAGCCGCTCAGCAGTCCATTCGGCCCTGGGTGGGGGTGGGGTGGGGGAGGCGGCAGGTGCTCGGGCTGGGACATGGGAAGGGGTGCACTGCTTTGAAGGCAGGTGCAGCGTGGAGTCTGGGGCGGGGTGGGGGGGACCCGGTGAGCTCTGTGCCACGTCTAGATTCCTGGCGCCCGCCTGTGTTCAAAAAAGTCCTCTTCCCTCTCAGAACTGCCATTCCTCATCTCCAGTGGGCGGGGGTGCCAGCTCCCAGCAGCCCGCGGGGCCCTGCAGTGGGGAGGAGGAGGGTGGGGAAGGCTTCTGGCCTGTGCTTGCTCCCCGGGGCCCTGGAGCAGGCTTGTGGGTCTGCGTGGGAATCTCCCCGTGGCGTACCTGCACTGGCACTGGCGGGTGAGACCCTCCGTGGGGCAGTGACCTGAGCGGGTCCCGGGGCTCCCCCGTCTGCTACTTGGCCTTTGCTGGGGCTCTGCTGGACCCGGGGTGCTGCTTTCCCCTCACACGGGCCCTCCCAGGCGCTCTCCCGCAGCCAGGCAGCAGACGGCCACCTGCCCCTGCCCAGGCTCTGTCTAGCTGGCCTCGGGGCTCAGGTGCCCATCTGTGAAATGGGACCATGAACGGGGCAGGCCGAGGTTGCCTCCAGTGCTCAACAGAGCGAGGCTCAGAACGGGGCCACCACTGGCGTCCGGCCGTGAACCTGGGAGGGGAACTTGGGCTTTTTGTATCACATGGGCTTCTCCAAACCCTCATTCATGGGCTGCAGGCCCACTGGGGGCGCTTCCTTGGGGGCAGGGGTGGGGTGACCCCACCACCACCTTCTAGTCCCAGCTCCTGCAGGGTGCCAGCCACACCCACCACCCCCACCAACTTCCCCGGTGGACTGTCTACAACTTGTAATGCATGCGGGGTGGGGTGGGGGTGGGGATCATTTTAAAACCAAAAGTTAATTATTTTTCTAATTTCCTGCCACATGCATTATGCATTGGCTGTTGTCACTCGCGGTAATTGCGAGCAGGTATGCAAATGCACCTGGGGTTCACCTAGCCGCGTGGGCCGTCGGGGCGGCGCCGGAGCCGGGCATCGGGATGCCCAGAACTTCAGAGAAGGCAAACCACTTGGAAAAGCAAGATTTTCAAATCGTGTCTTGGGAGGTTAATTATATTGATAACAGTGTTCAATATTAAGCTATTCGGGGCCGGCAGAGGGCCGGGGATGAAAGGAGACATGTGTAATTTTGTGTTTCTCTCTATGCGTTATTTAATAAGATGCTTCTCCACCTGCTATTTCTGTCTGCGTCCATTTTTAGTAGAGCTGCCTGGACTGACGCTTAATGCCTTTTGAGAAGGGAAAAAAAAGCCTGGCGGAGTTTCAGAGGGGAGGGGCCTAAGGGCCTTTATTGGGGGTGGGGGGCAGGCTCAGACCCCAAGCACAGGACAGGGGCTCCTGGGCCACAGCCAGGGTGGGTGGAGGAGCAGTGAGCAGGCCAGGTGGGTCTGAGTGAGTCCTGGTGGTGGCGAGACAGGGGCTCTGCACCGGGCCTGGGGCCGGGCCTTGGGCGCCCCGTGCACCTGCCACGGACTCTGGGGAAGCTGCTTGCTGTACCCTCCTGTTGATCTCCCACCAGGAGAGTCCCAGGGCAGGACAAGGTCTCTCTGAGGATGGGGCCTGGCACACAAGGTGCCCCAGAGACATCACTGGACACATGAGTGAGGAGAGATGCCCAAGCGGAGGCCCAGGACAGGCCCGTGTGGGAGAGGAGGGAGGTGTCACCCGGCAGCCCCACCCCGGTCACGGCAGCCCCAGGGAAGCGAGGGTATGGATCATGCAGCAGGTGGCAGAAGGGCCTTGCACAAACCCTCGGCCTCAGTGCGCCATGCCCTCCTCGCCCGTGTCTCACCCCTGCCCCTCCTTAGCTGTGCAGGGGCCACCCTGACCTCCGGGGGCAGCACACTGCGAACCTGACTGCCCCCACTGGCCTCCCCTGCGGTCTGTCCCCAGGAGCCAGAGGCCCCTTCCCTCCCCACCCCCCACCGATACACATGTGGATGGAGACCACTCCCAAGGACCCTGGGATCTGGGCAGCGGAGGGCCCAGACGTGGTCGGCTTTCTACAGATGAGGAGAGACAGGCCGGAGGGTGTTCGGCACTGCCCTCCCCCGGGCTGCGACCTCCGGCCTTGGCATTGAATTTGCATGGGGACCGCCATGGTGGACAGGTCTCAGGGGAGCTGCCTCCCACCGGCACCAGCAGGGCTGCAGACCCCAGGAGGCCCATGGGGCCAGGCCTGCCTGGGCTGCATGAGGTCTTTCCCAGAAGGCTCTGCTTTGCAGCTGTCCCACAGCCCCGTGTCCCCAGCACACACAGCTGCACACTCTGGGAGGGGACAGAAGCCACCCAAGGTCTCTCACCACAGTGCCTGTGCGGCCCACACTGCCCCAGAACCCCCCAGAATCCTAGGGGCTGGGAGGACAGCAGGTGCGGCGCTGGGCGCGAGGAGCGGCTGCCAGGAGGTGGGGGTGGCTGGCTTGCAGCAGCTCTGGGCTGGCGTGCCTTTATAATAAATAACAGCAAATAGCCCATCCGCAGGGCGTCTTTCACGCCGGTGGCTAATAACGCGGCTATTAATGCCCCCGCAGACGGCGTGCGCTGTGCCGCGCTGACGGATGGCCCGGGCCCTGGCGCAGTCATAAATCAGCCCCTCTGCTGGGGCAGAGCGCAGGGAGGTGTCATTTTCCATCTTGGTAATGAACTGGGGCTTCCCTGCCCTGCCCCGTGGGCCCCGCCGCAGGTCGCCAGGGATCTGTGTTTGTGGAGGTGCAGAAGTAGGCAGGCCCCGCCCACTCAGGCCTGGCAGGCCACGCCTCTCAGGCCTGGCAGGCCCAGCCCACTCAGCCCTGGCCAGATCCCGCACTGCCTGCTGTGTGACCTTGGGGCCCCACTGCCCTCTCTGGGCCAACGAAGAAGCAGGAGCAGGCCGTGGGTGGATGCTTTGCGTCGCCCAGGCCCACTGTCCAGCAGGGGCTTGTGGACTGTGGACCCCTCCAGCTGCGCAGCCGCAGGTGCTGTGGCCTATGGTCTGGATCTCACTGCTGCCCACTTCCGGCAGAACTAGTAGCCCTGCGCTGCTGGCGGAGAGGGACTCCAAATGAGGCACCCCGCTCCCCCCTAAGCCTGGCGTCTCCATTGGCCTAGATCGAGCAACGCGCGGGCCATCAGGCAGCAAAGGATCCTGGCCCCAGCCAGCGGGAACCACGTGTTGCGCGGGGCGAGCGAGCTGCACCACCCCCTGGGGAAGGGACTGGCTACAGCTGCCCAGGCACAGGCCCGATTCCCCTCCCCCATCCGTGCCCTCCCCCTGCCCCCGCCTTACCTCTGCTGCCGCAGCCCCGGGGTTCCTGCTCCGCCGGCCTCTGTGGATGCGGTGGGCCCAGGCCTTGCCTGAGTCACATTCGTGGCCCCCGGGCCCGGGGGGCCGCCCGCCACTGGCCGCAGACCGCAGGCCTGGGGCACGGGGCAGCACGGGCAACACCTTGGGGCGTGGGCTCCTGGGTTCAAGCGAGGCTGTGGGATCCAAGTAGCATCCTCGGTGCCCTGGGCCGCGGGGGCTGCCGGCTTCTCCCTGGGGAGCGAGGGGCGTGGGGGCTGGGCGCCCAGGGGCGCCCTCCGTGGCCTGAGGCTGTTGCGACCCTCTGCACCCCAGGCATGCCCTACGGCCTGGCACCCATCCCCAGGAGGGTGGCCTCTTGCTGCTTGCTACGTCCACGGCCCTGGTTCACCTGTGGGCGGCAGGGCCTCTGTGTGCCGCTTGCCCCCACCTTTTTTTCTTTACCAAGGGGTTTTGTTCTTTTTCTTTCTTTCTTTCTTTTTAATCCCTTTAAGTCACTTGGCAGAATGGGCTCGGTGTGGAGCGCGCTCTTGCGTGACAGCGCAGGGAGGGGCCCCGGCTCCACAGAATCGGTATTCCTGCCACTCAGCCTGTGTCCCGGGGGGAAGGCGGGGGCCCATTACCCCCCGCCGCGGAGTTCAGACGTTCACGGCGGGGCTGGCGCAGCTGACACGCGCCGCTGAGCTCTCACAGTCCGCATGTCCTGCCTCGGGGAGCTGCCGCCGTTGGGGGGGGGGGCTCCGTCCTGCTTGGCTGCTCCCGGTGCAGGGAAGGCTGGCACAGGGGAGGGAGGCCGGCTCCTCCCGCTTCGCCCCGTCTGTCTGTCTGTCCGTCCGCTTCTTCACCAGCTCCTGCCGAAAACAACACAGGTGGTTAAGCGGGAGGAAATTAGAAGCCGCGTGGGGACTAGCGCAGCCTCCTTCCCCCCCCCCCCCCATCCCATCAGACCCTAGGCCCACGGCGGCCCGGGCTGACTCCCCCTCTGGTTCGGGTAACAGCTGGCCACGGCGAGTAGCCTTCCTTGCAGCTTAGCTACCTGCCTTCCTTGGCTGGGGCTGGCGGGACCGGGAAGAGAAAAATGAAGTTTTGAGCGCTCCTGGCCCTGCGGGGCTGCCTGCCCAACCCAGAGCTGGCGCTGTGCCCCCAGCACCTGCTCCTCTTGTTAAATGTCATTCAAAGGCTCCAACTGGGCCGCGGAGGCCCGGGCTTCCAGAGAGACGCTGCCTTTCCCAGCGGGGGGGAAGCAGGATCATCAGGGACCCTGGGGGGAGTCATGTCTCGTGTCCCTGGCCTCCCTCCTGCAGCCCACACCCTGGTGAGGCCGGGGTCCGAGACCTGGGGGCGGGGAAGGCTGTTGCCCAGGCGGGAAAGCGAGCGCAGCCTCTCATTAGCGTGCATGCCGCCGTGGAAGGCCCGCGGAGCCCCGCCGTCCCTACTCCCCCTGCGGGAGCCCCTCTTTGGAAGCGGGCTTTCATTACACATCTGAGATCCAGATGGGCTCGGCTGCATCCGGGCACTTCTCTTTGTAGGGCCGAAGGTGGCTGCTCTGGGGCCGCAGCACAATGACAATGAGAAGATGTGGGGTGCGCGTTGCGTCTCAATCAGCCCGGCACCCAGGCTGGGGGCGGCTCCCCCGGGGCCCCAGCCTGGCAGAAAACCCACGCCAGAGGAAGTGCCCGCAGGCCAGGGGCGGGCAGCCAGGCGGATGGATGGGTTGGTGTGGCCAAGTGGGGGCCTTCTGGGGGCGAGGAGGAGGGAACAGGGCCGGGGCAGGCCTGGGCAGGGGCGGGGTGGGGACGAGGGCGGAGCCCCTGTGCGGGGGGGGGGGGGTGAGAGCGGCTGGCTCCAGCACGAGCCCTCGCTATTACCACGCGCGTGATTTCATCCAATTATAAATTGTAATTTCTCTATGAAGGCGAGAGGTGGAGAGGATCCAATGAGGTCATCCGCCTGCCCGGCTGGGGCGAGGAAACTGTTTTATACGGCAGAGGGGGTGGTGGCTGTGACCCAGCCAGGCACGGCCGCGTTTCCCTGTGACAGAAGCCAGCCGAGTTCTGCTTTGGGAACTGAGTGGTGGTGGGGGGGCGGGCTCCCGGGTGCCTCAGGCCCCTCCCACGACACTCACATCCAGACAGGCGGTCCCCTGGGCCCCTGGGCGGCCCCCCCAGCCCTGCTGCCTCCCCACAGGTCTCTCAAGGCTCTGAGCCGGCTGTGCCAGTGCCCCCTTCCCCCACCCCCCCGCCTGTGCCTGGTCACTGGGACCGCGACGACAGTGGCGTCATATCGTGAAAGGAGTGATCTCCCCAGCTTCCAGAGAACATGTGATGCTGCACAGGGTAGGCGCTTAATAAGTGCACCCCCGTGAGCTCTGCACTCGGCTTCCTCCTTCAGAGAACCAAGGTTCTTGGTGCCGGTCCAGCTGTGTGCACCCTGGGCCACCTTCCCTGCGACCCCACCCCCACCTTCCCCGGGTGCTGCGTGGCTCCTGGGAAGCCTGGCCATGGGACCCTTGGGTGAGGGCATCTGGGCTGCGGGCAGGTGTTTGTGGCGAGCCTGGCTGGCAGTGGTTGGGAGTGAACACACAGCCGTGCGCTGGCGAGCACCTGGTGCCCGCGCGTGGGCCCTCGTGACAGCGGAGCCCGCACCGCTAAGAGGTGTGGCTGTGTTCCCGCTTTCTGCTTGGTCAGCCAAGTTAGGCTATCTGTGTGTGGGGGGGGGTCTCGGTGGCCGGGCGCCCCCTGGCCTGGGCCAGCCCCGCTCCCCCAGGCTCCGGGCCTGGTCTCTGCAGCCAGGCACGAAGACAGCATTTTTCAAGTCAGCACAGGAAAACGCTTCCATTTGGAGGCGCTCTGAGACGCTCACGCAGTTGCACCTTTGCGATCGACGGCCTCGCAGCTGTGGTGAGAGGCAGCCCTGCACGGCCTCCGCGGCCGGGCCGGCTACCTACCCGCCTGCCCGCCTGCCCGCCTGCCCGCCAGCAGCCACGCGACGGCGCGCTGTATCCTCGCCGGTGAATTCTGCTTTGCCGCCTCCCTGAGCCTGGGACGACGCAGCGTGACTGGCAAGCCAGGGCCCCTGGGGAGAAGCAGGGACGTGGCCAAGGCCTCAAACCCCGGCTGGTTCCCTTCCTCGCTGTACTGAGCCCGCCCATCCTGGGTTCCTCCCGAGGCCCTCGCACGTCCCCTCCTCCCCCCTCCATCTCTCCATTCATCCTTTGTCCAAGCCACACCCATCCCTCTCTGTCCACCGTCCACCCACCCACCCGTCTGTCCATCTCTGCATCCATTTCCCCCTCCCTCCCTCCACCTCCCCTCTCTCCCCACCTTCTTCCCCTCTCCCCGCGTAGCCATCCATCCTTGCTCCGCGCTGAGTCCTGCCAGGCTCCAGGCGCTGTAAGACTCAGGACCCACAGGGGAGCCCCCAGAGTCCTTCCAGGAGTCCGCGTCCCGCCCAGCGGGGTGGCCCTTGTTCGTCACAGCACACAAAGGGCACTTGGTGGGTGGAGAACCCAGCCTTGCCCAGCCTGGAGTTGAGGGCGGGCTGCAGGGAGCTTCCTGGGGAAGATGACACCATGCTGTGTGTTTGGGGTCCCCCAGGCTCCCAGTCCATGGGCTTTCCCCCTCGACCACCGTCTGTCTCCCCACGTACCCACCTTTGCCTCTCAGGGCTCCCCCACAGTCGGAACGGCCCTCAGCTTCACTGTCCACAACCGCCTTAAAGACCACTCCCCCCTTAAATTCTGGTATCAGCCATCAGCCCTGCCATTTCGCTCCCGCCTCTGGCCCCTAGGGCCGGGTTTCATGTGCACGTCACCGATCAGAGCCGCCGGGTCCCGCGTGGGCTGTGTGGACAGTGACTTCGCCGACTGGCATTTGAAATGAACCACACGCCGCCCCTCCCCGGGCAGAGCTGCCCTGTGGCAAAGGGGGCAGAGTTGCGATGGCCCCAGCGGTCAGAGCCGGCGCGAGGCGGGAGAGCCGGAGCCTGCCTTCCCTTTGGACTTCCCGGCTGCGGTCCGTGCCCTGCCTGACCCGTGTGGATGAAAGGCGCTCTGTGATTCAGACGGGCAGTTTATTCTGATTTCATCCCAGCAGGACAGACGTCCGCGGGGCCTGTCTCTTTCTCCCCGCATCACGGAGACCTGGGGCCTGCCACTGTCCCATTCCCTCTCCCGCAGCGGGCAGCGGGGGCCGGGGCAGGGCGAGCGTGTCCGCTCAGAGGCGGGGACTGCGCCTGGAACTGGGCCGGCACGGCGGGGAGTGGGGCAGGAAGAGCGTCGGAGGCCGAGGGAACAGCGTGGGCGAGGGCTTGGTGCAGGGAGCCGGGTTTGCGGATGAGGGGACCTGACCTTTAGTCGAGGATGGAGGCCCGGCCCCAGGGACCTCCCAGGGCTGTGTCCAGGGGCCTGGTGTCTGCGCGGAGGGCGCCTGGCAGGGAGAGGCCTGATGGGACCTGTGATGTAGGAGGGGCACCCTGGCCGCTGTGCCAGGGTTCAGAGAGGGGCAGCGAGGCGCCGTGGCAGGTGGGCTCTGCTTCCCACACCCAGCTTGCTGCAGGGGGTCTCGGGAGGCACCGTGCAGGGCCCGCCTGGCATCCCAGGGCCCTGGCAGCGGCAGCAGGAAGGCCTGGGGAGGCCACCCCTCTGCTCTCCCCAGCAAGGATGGCCGCCCTGCCCCCTTCTCACTCGTAGGGCCGGGCTCAGCTCTGGAGTGGCGGGGGCGGGGTGAGAACGGGCAGAGGCGAGAGAGCAGGGTGTGAACCCTCCCTGCTTCCACTCTAATTTAGCATCAGGACTCAGAGTCTCGGGGTTGGGTGTGGCAGCCAGTGTGGGGGCGGCTGCAGAGCCGGGGAAACCGAGGCAGGCTGTGCCTGGGGGAGGGACATCCACAGCTCCCGGGGCCCCCGGCGTCACTCTCAGTGGAAAGTTCTTTGGCGTCCCTTGCTTCCCTTTCACTTGGCAGAGTTAGGGCCAGAAGTGAACTGGCTGGCCGCCACCTGCCGCCGGCCAGCCCCAACCCAGCCCATCTCGGGGCCTGGGAGGCCTGGCTCCCCCAGGTTCCTGGTGCCCGAGGGAAGGCGCGCTCCCGAGTGTGACGGCACTGCCCCCTCTGGCACAGCGGCCGCCAAGTGGGCACCGTGGTCCCCAAGCACGTGCTGTCCAAGGTGGACAGCAGCGGGCAGGTGCCTGAAGAGGCCTCGTCTGCCTCGAGGGCTCTTGTACCTTTGAAATCTCTGATCAAGGGCAGGCGGAGAGGCTGCCGGTGCCCGTGGAGCTGCACGAGTAGGTGCCAGGGAGGGCGGCGAGGGGGCAGTGGGTGCCCAGCTGGGCTCCTGAGGGACAGCAGCCGTCCCTGGCCTCCGGGGAGGGAGGCCGCAGGTGGCTGTGCCTTTAGGAGGGGTGGGGACACCAGCGCCCTCCCCAGGCCTGGCCCTTTGCCCTCAGTGACGCCAGGCGCAGAAGAGGGGACGGGGTGGCAGCTGCGGCCTGCTGGGCGGCTCTCTGGCCCCTGCTTGCCCCCCACCTCAGGCTTTGCTGCACAGGGACTCCATGCCTGGGGCGCGGGGGTCTCAGCTGTGCGACCCCTGACCCTGACTGTGAGGTGGGGCTTACGTGGTCTGTGTGCAGTAGCTGCAGGTGTGTGAAGCAAGAGTTGGGTGGCCATAGCATGATCTGTCTTGCAAGCTCATGAACCCCTGGTGGTAGCAGCGGGGGTGGGGCAGGTCACAGCCAGAGGCCCCCCCCCAACCCAAGGAGATGATGGAGGAGCTGTCGGGGAACCCAGGCTGTGTTTGAGGGGCGTCAGCTCCCTCCTGGGCTGCCCCTCCTCCCACCCCTCCCAGCCTCAGGTTCTGCCATGCTGGTGCTGTCTCCTGATCCTCCATTCTCAGGGCCTCTGTGCCACTGCTGGGGTCAGGGGGTCCAGTGTGTGCCCTGGGGACCCTCAGCGCTGCCCTCCTCCAGCCACTGTGTCCAGAAAGCCAGTCCTCCTGCTCAGACCTTGGCCACTGACACATTCAAAGCCACAAGCAGGGGATTCCTGGGCACGCACCTGCCAGCCTCCGGATTACCCAGGCGTGGCTGGAGGCAGTATTTCCTTCCAGAGTCCACCCACAGCCTCACAGCTGCCCGTCCCTCCCACCCTGCCCGCCTCCGGTCCCCAGCTCTCCGATTCCCTGCACCACAGAAGCCTGTGCCAAGAGATTTTCGCCTCAGTGTTGGAAATCAACCACCCCCCTTCCCGTAAACACGCTGCCTGGCCAAGAGCAGCCCCCTGCTCGGGCCAGGCGACCAGACTTTGTTAATATTTACAGCGAGTGGCTCAGGATGCTATTAGCTTCCTTTTCTTGTTGTTAATTGAAAGAGGAGAAAATGGTTGTAACACTTCAAAAGGACTTCAGGTGCAGCCTGAAAAAACCAGCTGAGTTGGGAGGAAGAGGATAAGAGAGAGATGATCTTAAATAAACACAGGCGGCGAGCCCATCCTCATGCCAGGGTGGGACGCCCCCCCCCCCCCGGCTCTCGGGCGCCCGCCCTCTCATTGTGCCCACCTTACGGAGAGATGGAGGGGAGGAAGGATTCGCCACGCGCTTTTGTTAATAACAAAGCTCTTTGAAGCTGTGGCTGCCGAGGCCCTGGTACCTCCACTGCTGGGGCACCGAGGGCCCCGCCTGGCAGCTGCAGGCCTG